AGATCTAGATATCATCAAGTAAGGATGCAAGAAGGGGAGGAGTTTAAGACAGCCTTCAAAACTCACCAGGGATTATATGAGTTCAAAGTCATGCCCTTTGGGCTTACTAATACTCCTGTCACTTTCCAAGCACTAATGAACCAGATTTTCAGGGCACTACTTAGAAAATCAGTGTTGGTTTTCTTTGATGACATATTAGTGTATAGTTCAGGTTTGGAGGACCACTGGAAACATCTCAGAGAAGTAATAACTATCATGAGGCAGAACCAGTTATTAGCAAAGCTGAGCAAGTGTTCTTTTGCCCAAACTCAAGTTGAGTATTTGGGACACATCATATCTCAGGCTGGACTAAAGACTGACCCTGCCAAACTTGAGGCAGTGGCTGCTTAGCCCAAACCACAGACCGTTAAGGGCTTGAGAGGGTTTTTTGGCTTAGCTGGATACTACAGAAGATTTATCAAGAGTTATGGGATCATAAGTAAAACCTTGACTGACATGTTGAAAAAAAAATGCATTTAAATGGACTACTGAGGCTGAGGAAGCTTTTAAACAATTGAAACATGCCTTGTTTCACTCCTCAGTCCTAGCCGTACCTGATTTTCAAAAGGGTTTCATTATAGAAGCTGATGCTAGCTACAAAGGGATGGGGGTTGTTCTAGTACAGGAGGGTAGTCCAGTGGCTTTTTTCAGCAAGGCTTTTGGAGACAGGCACTTGGGGCTATCAATTTTTGAAAAGGAATATCTCTCCATAATCAATGCTGTGGAGAAATGGATGCCCTACCTCTTGGGAAGACACTTCACTATAAAGACTGATCACCATAGTCTCTCATTCCTACTTGAGCAGAAAATAACTACTGCATTGCAATAGAAAGGATTGTCTTAGTTACTGGGACTTGACTATTCTATTCAATACAGGAAGGGAACTGACAATGTGGCTGCTGATGCCCTTTCCAGGATAGAAGTCAACACTGCAGCTTCTGCTCACTCCATTTCCATAGTTCAGCCCCAATGGATGGGGGAAATCAGCAGGAGTTACAAGGATGACAGCTGGGCTACTAATAGACTCAATGTTGCTTTGGTAAACCCCACTACTGATCCTAAGCTTTCTGTAGTAGGGGGACTTATGAGATGTAAAAAGACAGACTATACATTGGAGTTACTGGTGATCTAAGAAAGGACCTGATGACCAAGCTTCATGAATCATCAATTGGTGGTCACTTTGGGCAGACTGGAACCTATCAAAGGCTGAAATCTCTCTTTTACTAGAAGGGAATGAAGAGGGATGTCAGGAACTTTTTCAAGAATTGTGACACTTGCCAAAGGTGTAAAACAAAGAATGTAGCTTACCCAGGGCTCTTACAGCCTTTAAATGTTCCTAAAGAAGCTTGGTAGTGCATTTCCATGGATTTTGTTGAAGGGTTGCGCTAATCCCATCAGAAAGATGTGATTCTGGTGGTGGTGGATAGATTGACTAATTATGTTCATTTCCTTGCCCTAGGTCATCCCTATACTGTTGAGGGTGTTGCAAATTTGTTTATGGAAAATATCATACAAACTACATGGGTTGCCTAGGAGTATTGTTTCTGACAGGGACAAAATATTCACTAGCAAGTTTTGGCAAGCACTGTTTAAGAATATGCAGGTTCAATTGAATCTTTCCACAGCATACCACCCTCAAACTGATGGTGAAACTGAAAAGGTAAACTAGTGCCTTGAAGGGTATTTGAGGTGTATGGTGTTTCAAAAGCCAAAAAAGTTGGGTGAAATGGCTGCATTTAGTTGAATGGTGGTATAACACGAATTACCATTCTTCACTAAAGTGCACCCCATTCCAGGCCCTATATGGTTATATCACGCCTATAATGGCTGTCAATCTGAGCTCAAGTGAGAGGGATCTATCCTGGTTAACTAAACAGGCCAGGCCTATTTATACCAAGCTCGGCCTTCAGGCCTACAGGCCTAGCCTATTTACACATATATATAATTTATTTGTAATCTTAAGTTAGTATATATTCTATTTTATACCTAATATATTTTTATATTTACAATATAATTCCAAGTATATATAATTATCAAACCCTAACCCTACACCTCCAAAATCGCATTCTAAATTCTTATTCAACTATAAACATTGTTGTTAATCCTATTATAAGTGTTCTTATTGTTAAATTGTTTTTACTGTTAAATATTTAATGAAGTGTCACGACTTAATTATGTGAGTTGATTGTTAACTATTTATGAGATTATATAGGATGACAATCAATAATACAATGGAATTCATTCCTAAACAAGTTAACAAGCATGTTGAAGTTGTGACTTGTTTTATTTTATTTTATATATGTTTTAATACTATTATGTTTTTATTTTGGCGATATACTTATGTAGTTGTATATTAATTTTTTATTAACTATGTATATTTCTTAAATTATTTAGAAATACTTATTAAAGTTTTCAAAAAGACTTAATATATAGATTTTAAATAGGCTCAAAGCAGAGCTTACTTTGAAGCATTTTTAATGGCCTACAGATTAAACAGGCTTTTAAAAATGCTTCAGGCCAGGCTAGGCTAATTGTAGGCTCAGGCTTGAGCCTAACAAAAAGCCTACATACAGGCTCAGGCCCAGGCCCAGGCCTTAGATTTTCGTAACAGGCCCAGACCTAATTTTCAAAAGCTCGGCTCGGCTTGGCTTATTTCCACCCCTACTTGCTGGGTCAGGATGGGCAGATTCTAACAGCTCCTATAGTTGCCCTGGGCAAGATGTTGGTGAAAAAAGGCAACCAAGCAGTGATAGAGATTTTGGTTCAATGGGCCAACCTACCAAGAGTAGAGGCCACTTGGGAAAGCTATCATCACATGAAGAATCAGTTCCCTTCATTTGATCCTTGGGGTCAAGGATCAGCTGACGGGGGGGGGGGGGGGGGGGGGGGGGGGGGGGGGCGGGGGGGGGGGGGGATGCAGCAGTCCTAGTATCCTAGATGGATATCCTAGTATGAAGGCAAGAGGGAGGAAGGGTGGCAAGTGGAGACTGGAAGATGAGATGGCAGATGGGCAGTTGACATTTGAAGGAAATCGAAAGTCAAAGGACTGGAATGACGTCGTATGAAGGGCGATTGAGACCGTTGAATAAAAAAGGGTCAGACGACATCGTTTTGGGCGACCGTTAGGACCAGTTGGCCTGAGCTATCCGACAACGTCGTTTTTTCACTCTTCCCGCACATCCTTGTGTTGCGATCCGGGAATGTAGGAACAACTAAGTTGTGTATTGTTTACTGCTTTCTTAAATTGTTAAGATTTGGAGGAGTATGATCATGCTGAATAATAAACTTTCTTCTTCTTCTTCTTCTTCTTCTTCTTTCTTCTTCTTCTTCTTCTTTCTTCTTCTTCTTCTTCTTCTTCTTCTTCTTCTTCTTCTTCTTCTTCTTCTTCTTCTTCTTCTTCTTCTTCTTCTTTCTTCTTCTTCTTCTTCTTCTTCTTTCTTCTTCTTCTTCTTCTTCTTCTTTTTTTTTTTTTTTTTTTTTTTTTTTTTTTTTTTTTTTTTTTTTTTTTTTTTTTTTTTCTTCTTTTTTTCTTCTTCTTCTTTTTTTTTTTTTTCTTCTTCTTTCTTCTTCTTCTTCTTCTTCTTCTTCTTCTTCTTCTTCTTTCTTCTTCTTCTTCTTCTTCTTCTTCTTTCTTCTTCTTCTTCTTCTTCTTCTTCTTTTCTTCTTCTTCTTCTTCTTCTTCTTCTTCTTCTTCTTCTTCTTCTTCTTCTTCTTCTTCTTCTTCTTCTTCTTCTTCTTCTTCTTCTTCTTCTTCTTCTTCTTCTTCTTCTTCTTCTTCTTCTTTCTTCTTCTTCTTTCTTCTTCTTCTTCTTCTTCTTCTTCTTCTTCTTCTTCTTTCTTCTTCTTCTTCTTCTTTCTTCTTTTTCTTCTTCTTCTTCTTCTTCTTCTTCTTCTTCTTCTTCTTCTTTCTTCTTCTTCTTCTTCTTCTTCTTCTTCTTCTTCTTCTTCTTCTTCTTCTTCTTCTTCTTTCTTCTTCTTCTTCTTCTTCTTCTTCTTCTTCTTCTTCTTCTTCTTCTTCTTCTTCTTCTTCTTCTTCTTCTTCTTCTTCTTCTTCTTCTTCTTCTTCTTCTTCTTCTTCTTCTTCTTCTTCTTCTTCTTTCTTCTTCTTCTTCTTCTTCTTCTTCTTTCTTCTTCTTCTTCTTCTTCTTCTTCTTCTTCTTCTTCTTCTTCTTCTTCTTCTTCTTCTTCTTCTTCTTCTTCTTCTTCTTCTTCTTCTTCTTCTTCTTCTTCTTCTTCTTCTTCTCTTCTTCTTCTTCTTCTTCTTCTTCTTCTTCTTCTTCTTCTTCTTCTTCTTCTTTCTTCTTCTTCTTCTTCTTCTTCTTCTTCTTCTTCTCGCGACACCGTTCTCCTTAGTTGAGACATCGCCCGCCGTCCGCCGCCCGTGACTCGAAGTCCCAGAATTTGCTCTTTTCAAACTGTGGTGTGCTGCAGCCTGCAGATTCCCAAATCGCAACACCGTTCTCCTTAGTTGAGACATCGCCCGCCGTCCGCCGCCCGTGACTCGAAGTCGCATCGTCGACAACGACTCGAGGGGAAAGCCACCGGAAAAAAAAAAATGAGGCTGATTTTTTTTTTTTTAACTCCGTCACTGGGCAATTAAAAAAATTCGAGATTTTTTTTTAAAAAAAATAAAATTAAAGTTTCTTAATGCCAAAAAAAAAAAAAAAAACAAAAACAACACTCAAAAAAATCATATACAAAATCTTGATGTATATGAAAATTTATATTGTTTTTAGGCTAAACAATCAACTAGGCAGAGATTGATAAAGGCTCTTGATACCTAATGTTAGATAGAAATATAGTCTAACCATACAGAGTAGAATCTACGAGACACTTAACATCGTAGTAGCGGAAGTAGTGTAGATCTCCAGCCATAGTTGATATCCTATTGTATTGCCTCTTGAGCAGTAAATCTGCAGAATAGGGTTAGCCATTTTGTCTCACACTTGACTCAGAATCTTAGATTGTGTACTGATATTATTCTGAGCAGCATGAGTACCATAGCTTAAGGTAATATACATAGTATCCTATCCCATCAGAATTTATTTTAGGCACAAGGCCCAATAAAACAACTACTTCTAGTTATTCAAGCCCATTAACTCAGCAAGTCATAATTGTATGAGACACCTTTAAGCCCGTACCTGTGACACCCCAAAAATCCACACTCTACAAAACCTATTCTGCTTACCTATATATGATTTCTTGGCTTCTATTTGTGTTTTGCTATGAAATGTGAGAGTTTATGCATTTATCTTGTGATATTGCATATCTAGACCTTGTGTTTAGGATTCCTTTGTGCCATTGCTTGGCATTTTCCTTGGTTCAAGTCATTTTGTTGTGTTTGGTGAGATTTGGCATGTTTTGGACTTGAATTTGTGTTTGGAGGAGAAAATCTCCGAAGGGATTTGTTGTGGTACAGGGGCGTACCCGCGGGCGGAACGGCGGGCGGGGCACCAACCGCCGGCCTACCCGCGGGAACGTGTTGCCTTGTGGGTGTTGTACCCGTGGGCGGGACCATGGGTGGGGCACTACCCATGGGTCTACCCGCGGGGAACACAATGGTGTTGAGATGGGATTTGTTCCCCGTGATTTGTTTGTCTCGGTCTTTGATCTTTTGGCCTCCCGATGTTCTTTTGTGGAACTATTTGAGCGTCTTCTTGATGTTTCGTAGGTCTAGAGCTTTATGGTAGGTATCCATGTAGGATCTTTGGTGTTGTGTATCGTGCTAAGTGTTCAACATTGTGTTTCGTTGAACCGTGTGGTGTCTTGTGTGTTCCTCGGAACTATCTTGAGTTTCCCCGTTGTTGAGCTTGCTAGTTATTATCTTAATGCTAGCGTCGTTGTTGTCGTTGGGTGGTGACCCGTCTCTTGATTGAGTATGTTTCTTACCTCTTTTGCAATCCGTTGCTTGTTTCGTGTGAGTGGTGGTGCGTGTGTGGCTCTACCTGGATTGCACGATTAGTGGTATGAGACGCTAGTCACCAAGGTATTGCAGCGGTCCTCGTGGTGGCGGTGACGTGATTATGGAGTTGTGGCTGAGTCCACGTGATTGGGGGATAACATTGTGTTATCCGGGCATGTGTTGCCGTGAATTGGTGGGTTTTCGTTGGTTGTTATAGGTGGGGGACGACGGTCCCGGCGGAATAAGGTTGGACTTGGCTGTACAGGGGTTTTCCGGAGGTAATGGTTGGCTTTGATATTATATATCTACTTATTTATGATACTTAACGGTATTGGTGGGTTACCAGCATCTTCCGCTGACCGGGCGTCGCCCCGATGTTTATCTTTGTATCTTTCAGGTGATGCGTAGTCGAGCGCGATGTCTAGAGCCGGTAGCTTAGCACCTGTATCTTTAGACAGTGTTGTTGAGGCCCGTGTGCCAATGTCTTTAGATTGTTCTAGTTTGTTGTTTTTTGGATAGTGATACACTTGCAGATTGTCGCCGTAGCGTATGCCAAGTGTGGTATACGTGGCATAACACCCCGTTTTGGATTCCTTTTATCCAGTTATCTTTCTATCTTCCGCTGTGCTAGTGTTTTGTTGTTAATCTGCATGTGTTAAGACTTGTTTTTAGGTCTTGTTTTTGGGGGGTGTTACAGTTGGTATCAGAGCCTAGGTTTGAACCTTGGTTTAGAGCCTAGTAAGAGTTAAGTCTAGACTTTCTAAGTGTTTAAGTGTGTTTTGAGACCTCTAAGCGACCTTAAGAAGCTAAGTGTTAAGCTTAGGACTCTAGGTTGCGCGGTGAGATGTGTGTTGTTTTCTGTCTTGCTTGCTTGCTTTTTGTGGTAACCTTGTTGTTGTAGCAGAAGTGCGATGCCTCCTCGTCCTCGCGCCCGCTCCCCAGAGACCCCGACCAACGAGCAGCTCACCCAGAATCTCCATCAGCTGACGCAGACGATGCAGTCCCTCAGTGAAGCTCTGTTGAACAACAATCAAGCTGCGCCGCCTCCGCCTCCGGTTGGGCACCGCGATGTGGGTCGTTTAGTGTCCGGGCATCTGCCGCCTTCCTTTGCTGGTGAAGAAGACCCTGTAGTCCTTGAAGAGTGGCTACAGGTGTTTGATAAGATTTTTACCGTGGTGGGTTGTCCCGAAGAGAGGAGAGTAGAACTGGCAATGTTCTACTTCTGCCAAGAAGCTGATCTGTGGTGGGTTCACGAGAGTCCGGCCTTTCTTGAAGAACCTGGGTTTGATTGGACCACGCTCAAGGACAGGATGCGCGAAAGGTTCTACCCAGCGCATGTGCGAGCCGCCATGTTTGATGAGTTCCTTCGTCTGCAGCAAGGACCTCTATCTGTGGTGGAGTACCACAAGAAGTTTCTAGAGCTGGCGCGCTTCGCGAGGGTGTTGGTGCCTACAGAGCTTGCTAAGGTTGAGCGTTTCGTTGCCGGTCTGAATTATGAGGCACGAAAAGCGTTGACGGTGAGTAGACCCAGTTCTCTCAAGGATGCGTATCTGTGTGCCGCGGATCTGTTTCGTGTTCAGCAGCTTCAGAAGAGTTCGCTTGAGTTAGCTAGGAAGAGAGTTGAGAGTGGAGGTTCTTTTGCTTTCAAGAAGCCCCGACAGAGTTTTCCGGCTAGAGTTGTGTCATCTTCTTCTCAAGGACCAGTTAGGATGGAGCCTCCGGTTCAAGCTAAGTCGGTTGGTTGTCGCAAGTGTGGGAAGGTGCATCCGGGTCAAGTTTGCTATGGCCAGGCGTTTAAGTGTTTTCGCTGTGGGGTTGTTGGTCATAGAGTTGCGGAGTGTCCTCAGCTTGTCGGTCAAAGAGCGTTGCCGCCACCCCCGGGAGTCGGAGGAGCACCAGGATAGAGTTTGAGTCATGGAGCTGTTGGAGCTAGGCTGCCGGGGAGAGTTTTCGTGATGGCGCGTTCGCAGGCGGAGTCGGAGGGTCTGGTGGAGGAGTTAGCAGGTAACCCTTGTTATGAGCCTATCCTTGTGTCCCCGAGAGCTTTGTGTTCTTTGTTGCCTTGGGTGCTATCTTGTGTTTCGTAGTTGTCTTTGTGTTCTTTGTTGCCTTGGGTGCTGCTATCTTGTGCTTCGTAGTTGTCTTTGTGTTCTTTGTTTGGCAATCCTTGGTTTGTTTCCCTTGCTTGTTTTTCGTTGGATGCTTAGTGTAGACTCTTTTCTTGCTAAGTGTTTTCTTTAGTTGGCATCTTGTTTGTGGTAGCCATCTATCCTTGAGTTATCTTGTGCTTAAGCCAATTCTTTCACCTTTGGACTTAGTTGTTTTTACAACAATTCCTTGAGCTTTTCCCTAAATTTTCCAAGTATTCTTTGATTTGGAAAATAGCAATCCCTACCAAAATCTTTCCTTGTGTAGCCTAAAAGTTGAACCTAATGTTACTTTGTAGCCTTTGAGTTTTGAACCCTAGCCAATTTCTTTTCTACCCAACCTCTAAACCACTTGAACCAATTATCTTTCTTAAAACCTAACCCATTTTAATTCCTTTTAAACCTTGAAATTGCACTTTGTTCAAAATCCCCAAATTTAATCATCTTTTTCCCCAATCTCACCCAAATTCCTAATTTCTTTCCCCAAAATTCTCTTCATCTTTTTCTTTCTCCCTACCCGTGAGCTACCCGAAGCCACCCCACCCCGTCGCCCAGCACCACCTGCCCGTCGCACCACCGCCTCGCCACCGCCGGAGTTCACCGCACCGCCGCTGCCGTCGACCTGCTGTGTACCGTGCCGCCGGGCAGCGCGAGAGAGAGAGAGAGAGAGAGAGAGCAGCGAGAGAGAGAGAGCCGCGAGAGTGTGGTAGAAGAAGAAGAAGTTGTGGGCTTTGTTTGTTGAGCTTTGGATCATCTTTCACCATGCCTAGAAGGTCAAGTTTGGCAAGAAAAGCGGAATAGGTGGATGCCCACTACCTTGTGCTTGAAGGTAAACCTTTTGATCCGGAATCTTTTTCAAGTTCCTTGTTGGATTTGCTTAAGTTTCAAGGTTTGCTAGATGGTTTTTTCGCCATAAGGGCCGAGACTTACCCGAGTTTGGTGAAAGAGTTTTACCGTCACATGGTGGTGACGAAGGAAGGTGAAAGGCTTGAGATCACCTCTAAGGTGAGAGGTGTGAAGGTTGTGTTGTCTGAGAAGAGGTTAGCTCAGTTGTTGAGTTTGTCTGCTACCGGAGTGGCTCAGTACAGTGGTCATTCTTGGATTAGTACGGATACCATGGGGTGTCGTGACTATTTGAGTTATCTGTTTGGCCGTACGAGTGGTTTCACTCAAGCTTCGAGGCCGGAAAGGAAGTGGTTGTCTGCGGAACAAAGGATCTTGGTTATGTTGGTGTCAGATTGTTTGTTGCCTAACAACAACAAGAGCAGTTTGTTGGGTAAGTTGGAATGTACCTTTGCTTTCTGTTTGAAGAATATGGTTAAGTTCAATCTGCCTGCTTTGATGATGCAACACATGGTGTTCTGCCGGGATCACAACCGGAAGAGTTTGCCGTATGACATGGTGCTAAGTTGGATCTTGGTTAAGAAAGGTGTTAGTGTGGATGGTTGTCCCTCGAAGGCTGTGGGAAAGATGGTTTTGGATACCGCCAATCTCCGGAGTTGTAATCTTTTTTAGTTGGATAGTGGTGAGTACATCACGCTTGAAGAGGTTGCTAGGAAAGCACCTGTTGAGAGAGCAGAGTTAGCTGCTGGGCTTGATATTCATGCCAGGAAGTTGAGCCTTGCAGTCCAGAGTTTGGGTGGTGATGAAGAAGTTGAGGAGGAAGCAGATCAGGAAGAAGAAGAAGGAGCATCGGAGACCGCTGAAGCTGGAGTAAGTGAATCAGACGGTGAGGAACACCGTAGAAGGGAAGAAGTTCGCACCAAGAGAGGGCAAGATGTTGTATCTTTGCTTCGTCAGCAGAACAGTTTGATCGCCGAAGGTTTTGCGTTTGTGAGTTCGCAGTTTACCGCAGTGCATCAAA